AAAATTGTAATATTTTTTCAAGTGAAATGCATGTCCAAATATAATTTCAAATTTTAAATACCATTTTTCAACTTAACTCCAAATATTACTTTATTTCAAAAAATATAATTTTTATCTCCAAACGCCTACTAAGAATATCTAGGATATTTTACGAATTACTTGTCGATTCAATTCTATACAAAATACTTATGTGATTAAACGATTCCAAGATCAAGGGGATGTGTGCTAATATGTCAATTCATGGCAGTGTCAAATGTCATTTTCGTAGGAGGAATTTTCAGAAATTACTATTGTTTAGTTGCTATTAACTTCATATAGCTATTATATATATAATTACTTCTTATAACTATTATTCAGTTGTTACGCGAGTGTATTTGATGTAGTCACGCTACTGTATTCATGAATACAGTAGCAAAAATCGCCTAAAAGATTGGGAGTCCAGTTGTACGCGACTGTATTCGTTGTATTCGCATTACTGTATTCATGAGTACAATAGCGAAATTCGCCTAAAAAATAGGAGAGTCCAACTGTTTAATAACGGAAAGAGGCGTATCACTCCTAATTTAACTCAACAAAATCAATTCTATATAAATTCCGCTGCTATTGTGTTGTATTCCATCTATTCGCGCGACTGTATTTATAAATAAACTAAGGTAAAAAACAAGGATTACAAATGTTTAATTATGTATTCCATGTATTCGTGCGAACGTATTTATAAATACAGTGAGGTAATCCGCCTAAAAAATACTCCCTCCGTTTCAAATTAGATGAGATACTTTTCTTTTAGTCTGTTTTAAAATAAATGACACATTTCTAAATTTGAAAATAATTTAACTTTAAAATCATCATTTTATCCATCCTATCCTTAATGAGAAGCTTTTATAACCACAGAAATGTCATGGGCCCACAAAGCTTTTTTCACGACCCAAACTGCAGGTCCGCGATGGGCAGCCGATGCCTTACACAACCAAGTACCAACATAACATATCTTTCTTATCATACCGTTATGGGTAAGTGGGCCAGAAGGGCCGTCATAAGATAACTAGAATAAAACATAAAGGAATACTAGATGTAGGACGACCCAAGGCCGACATGATCATTTGTACACTCAAAATATAGGTCGACAAGACCATACAAATATCCATATACATGACATCTGTCTACAAGCCTCTAAGAGTACATATATGTCATAAAAGTCGGGACATGGCCTCGTCATACCAATCAATACATGTCCAAATCATACTGACCAAATAGGCAAATGTGAAGCAAGTGGAGTGCACCAACACCTTCTGCTGAGCTGATAGCCTACTAGGAGGACTGTTAACCTGTCTATCGGGACCTGTGGACATGAAACGCAGCGTCCCCAAGCAAAAGGGATGTCAGTACAAATAAAGTACCGGGTATGTAAGGCATGAAAGCAGTATATAAAAGACATGAAAGAAATATGGAGTAAAGGACTCAACATGTGAGTCTGAATTGCTCTGTGAATCATAAAGCATTTATAATGCTATGCATGCGCGTATAAATGTCATATCATGCATAGGTATATGCGTACATAACATCATCAAGCCTCTGAGGGCATCCCATCATATCATCTCGGCCTCTGTGGGAGAAATTATCAACGTATACCAGCTGATCAGGTGGTGATGCGTATATAACGCCATAACCTTTTCCCATATCCCATATACATATACTATACGCATATATAACGCCACCTGGTCATGAGTCAATATACATATATAAATGGATGCAATACATAATAAAGTAAGTCAACAAGATCTCTCAAATAAACTTTTATCAACTTACGTATTTTTTTTAGACCCATGAACAGAAGATATAATAGTAGGACATATGGGGAATCAAGAACATAGGCAACCCTAATACTTCTAAGAATAGAGTCATTTGTGAAAGTTACGCGTTTGGTCGTTTAGTTTGTATCATATGAATCATGCCAAAAGGAAAGAAGGGATAGCCTTAACATACCTCAAGTAATCAATTCAATTCAACAACAAGCTTATGACAACTAGCGCACCAACCCTATAACAAAGAAATATATGTACAACTTAGATGACGCTAGTATATCACATATCTCAAACGATAACTCGTTTCTAAAATAAAACGAGCAGTATTTACCCTGATAGGTGAGATACAAACACAATACAATTAGAAATTCAAAAACAACCCAACTACCATTCGGGACCTTCAATACAATAAAATCCCCAAATATACCATAACACACCCAATCAAAAAGTTATCAATTTTCCTAAAATTGCAACGACGAGCGACCAACCTACTATCCTACCATATGTGGTGTTTCTCCATGCCCTTCATCCTTCCAAACTCCATAAATCAGCAGCACAATAGGCCAACACGAGTGCACTACAAAATAGTTAACTGAAAGTGTAATAAATCAAACTCACGACTTCCGATCATTGTCCCGTGATTTCAAACTATTAGGAAACAAATTTATCAACCTTTCTTGATATATAAAAGCTTAAATACAGAAAATAGACATTTTCTTAACTATGAAGTACTTTCCAAAACTTAAACTACAAAGAAAAAGAGAGGCGATATAGCGATACTTACGTTGTAGGGATCGTTCTAATGTTATCGCTTCTTGATTTCGTATCCGGGATATTAATCTTCTTTGAAACCCTAGAAGAGAGCTTAAGGATATGTTTATTGGTGTTCTATGGTCGTGTGCTCTGGAAAAATGAAGATAATGATAACCTAAGACCTTAATATATCAACTTTTGAAAAGTCAAAGGGGTGCCAGCTTGGCACTCTATCACTGGCCCTTCTTTCGATGCTTATATCTTGTTATCTAGACGTCGTATAAACAAACGGTTAATACCGTTGAAAACTACATTCCAAGATCTTCAATTTGGTATATAATATGTTCCAAAATACCTCATATAACACACGAAATGTATTGCTCAGAAAGCTTTAGTGACACATCTACTTGTCACCTATGCAGTCTACGCAGTCTCACGAAATTGCAAATATCTCTCTACTCCGATGTCGTATCGACGAATGGTTTAAAGAGTTAGAAACTAGATTCGTAGATATTCAATATGATATATGTATCATCCCGTAAATCCAAGTATATTGGGAGAAAAGCTCTGCTACATTTGACATAATATTCAGCACATTTATGAAGAGAATTCGCCGGAGATGGCATTTTTCGACTAAGCAAAATATTGTATACATTGTATTAAAACTAAAAATGAAGACGAACAAAAATCTGGCTTTCAAATCTTCTCCAGCGTAGCCATGGACAGATCTGTTCACCTAAGAGGATGAGCCAATAGTGGATGAAGACGCCGAAGATTCTGACTCATAGTTATGTAGAAATTATGATTCATCATTTTAAAAACTTTTTCCCTATTATTCATCTAACGATTATGTTGGTGTACACACTGTAGATTGACTGAACATGTAGAAGTATTTTTAATTGCAGTAACCTTAGAGGATTCGACCAGAGAATTCACGCTTAGATGCAGGTATTTTGCTCGAAGAGAGAGAAAACGAAGATAGAGCGAAAGAAGATTTGTGCTGATATTTTGAGAGAGAATCGTGTGTTAACTTAAAGAAAAAGAGAAAAAAAACATAAATAGTGTATTTCACGCCTCAATGGTAGTGTATACCATAAATACCTATTTTCCTATAAAATATAAAAGGTAGCTATAGAAAATAACATTTTAAAATAGTTTTGGTTTATAATAAATAGGATGTATACCTTTGCTATAGAAGTGTAAAATTTCCTTTCAGATAAGTCTAGAATATGGCATTATAAAGATAAAATGGGCTCTTTAATTCCTAGTAAATAATGACATTGGCCCAAAATGTTTCAAAAATCAAGGAAATGTTTCATTGATTATCCCATTGATTACAATGCCACAAAAAAAAAAAATCGAACACGATAATTTGCATAGCATGGCTTTTAATTTCTGATGTCATTATTTCTAGTTTCTCCGTGTTAATCTAGTGAAGAAACTTTTGCCTGAAAAGGCAATTGAGCGAATTATTCTTTTTTTGGCAGACAAATTTAACTCATTAAACTAACAGGAACAAAATTTAAATAGTGGCCTCAAAGAAGACCAATTGCGCAAATGCCAATATTCGCACAAATTTCAAGCACGAGAGCTCCCACCCTGGCAGGGCGAAGTGCATAAGTATGTACTTTTAAACCTGTTATTTAAAATATATTTATAATTTATAACGTATTTAAATAGCCAATTTATTTAAATTTCAAGAATAAATATCCTGAATTTTTGTATCCTATTTTGTTGAGCTGTTAATTTAAAATTTAGGACTTAGTGTCCCAAATTTTTTAATAGCTAATTTGAAATTCAGGACTTAGATTTGAATTTTTAGATACAAATTTCGAACTTTAAGATAGAATATTCTAAACTTTGAGCGAATTGACTAATATTACCATATAATATTGTAAACTGTGGCTACCCGGTGCCATTTCCATACAATGGCTGGCCTGGCCCAACCCATTACCTCACCTCTCTTACCTCTTAGGCCTTAAAAGGTGGCGGAAAAATAAGGGCAACAATCAATTTTAGTCTCCGGTCGAAACTCTTTACTTCCGGTAAAAAAAGATTGTATATTTTTTGTATGTAAAAGAGCAAAAAGATTATATATTTTTTATATCTAACATACATAAAATGTATATATACACAATAATGATATATTTTTCAGCTATTATTTTGAGAGCGGCTATACAGTGCTATTTTTCGGGGAAAAAAATAACTAAGTTGTGTAAAGTTACACTTTGAGAAAGTCTAGAAAAAGCAACACAAAAACGAAGAGAAGAAAAAAACAAGTACTTAGTGTTTGACTTTAGTACAAGAAAGGAATAGGATCAGTAAGACATTGCTACAAAGAAAAACATCACATTCCTCCTTCCATCTAAAGGCTTCACAAAATTTATTAAGACAAATTACCTAACCCCATTTAACTAAACCATACCAAAAATTATGTGCTTCATTTCTTGTCATGGATATTTCACCTATACCAGCTTTTAATCGTTCACGTTTTCAAGAATATTATTTTCAGACTTTTTCCTTCAAAAAATGCTGCTTTTTCCTTTTCAGCTTCATTTTCTTGATAGCCCTTGTGGTAGTGGTAATTCCTTCCATCATTTTCTTAAGCTTGAAGCCCCAAAAGCCCGTTTTCTCAATCCAAACGTTAAAAGTGCAATCTTACAAGCTTGACGTTTTAAATAACTCAGGCTCCGGCGGCCTCCTATTTTCATCGGTCATCTCTCTGACACTGGTTGCGCAAAATCCTAACAAAGTTGGCTTAAGGTATAGGTCGACGCGATTTCATGTGTTTAATGAAGGAGTAGTGATCGGAATGATTCAAGTTCCTGCATTTTATCAACCTCCTTGTAGCAATAACTTAACATTGGAGACTCGAGTAATATTTTATTGCGTGAACGTTACTCAAATTTTGTCTAACATTTCATTGCAACAGAAGAGTTCGACAAAAAGTGTTACCTTGGCAAGCATATTGGGTGATGTTGCAGCTCAGGTGAAACTTCTCAATGTCAATTTGCCCAAGGTGAAGGTTTGTTACTTTTTCAAAGGACCATTTCATTTGTGGAGTTAGTTCCTTCTTAATTTTAATTTACTAATAATCCCATTTTTTTACGGGTTACATGTAGTTACGTATATTTTAGATGACTTTAATTTAAAGTTGATAATACAAAAGTTTTTTCGCATCATCACTGTATATATAGATGTTACATTCCTGTAGTAATTGTGATTTTTCTAGTACTTATTGTATTTCTTCATGCAATTTTTGAAGTTGGCCGTGGAGTGCGCCATAAATATTGACCAAAACTATATTAAACTCAGTAACCAAGTGGTGTACAGCGTGAAAGCAGCAAAATATAGTACGGTATGGACGATTATCCTAAGATCAATTACCCTTTCCTTCTAACTAATATGATGTATACAATTTCTGAGAATGTACATTACTTAAACTCTATTTTAAATTGATATTATGAACGGCTCATAACTTTAACATGTTTTTTGTTCGATTTTATTCCTTGGGCGTTTGCAGTTATCTCTTCCAATGAATATCAAGGGAACTTTCTCCAACAAGTGCTCTGCATCTATTTACATCTAACGCGCTGATGATATAGATATACTCCTTATTAATCACAAAAAGTGTGAATGCTATTATTCATTGTTTTCACTAATTATTCTTTTTTTTCTTTCATTTTGTGAAGATACAATTTTGGATGAATAGTGTATTCTTATTTGTTACCAAGTTGTCGAATATCTATGTACATACATGATGGTAGGTGTGTACAAAGAAAACCGATAAACCGCACCAAATGATATTTTATGTGTAATAATGGCTGGTCAATATTAATCAAAGCTCTATTTCTAAGGATTAAGAAATTTCAAGTTTATGGTTCGTAGTCTTGTATTTACTCCTATAATTAATTATTGTAGAAGAAAATTATTCGACCCAAAAATATAATCTCCGGTTAAACTATTAAATTTACGTAGTACCAGGCTAAATCTAACTAAGGATTATAACTCTAGGTATTATCCACAAAAACGTGTAGTAGATGGGACAAATTCCGTATATGGTTGATGGCAATAAATGTAAAATACTCTTAAAGCAAGAACATTTAGGGTGATATAACTAATAATAAATGTCAATAAATGATATTTAATTAAATAAAGAGAATAATTTACCCAATAATAAACGGGTGGGAGAATATTTTTTCTGACAATGATGAATGACAGATAGATCCAAGATTCGCATGAACAATCTTCGGATCTGATGGAAAGGTAGCGTATAATATATCAACAAGAATATTTGTAAAAAGGTAATCTTTGTGTTTTAACAAGGGAGAGGGTCTTCTTCCCAAAAGTATTCTTATCAAAATCAATTTTACATGCCCCTATCATTGTCCCATCTTTCTATATATATATGGGCCGGGCATTTTTCCTATTAAACCCTAATAGTACAACTGCAAGGAATAGTGAATATTCCCTTTTAATACCCTATCTTGACAAATTAGTCGTTACAAGTTTTATCATCAGTAGTCAATCTCGATCTCGACCCTTGGTGACATCTTGATTACTATAACCGTCGATATCTTGACCATGGCTCATGTCGGCACCTCAGCCATTGACCTCGCAGCGTCTTAGGCGAGCTCGACCGATAAATTTATTTAATTCCATATTACGCTAAATATTCCGAAGATGGATTTTGGCCTATACAGTTAGTCTCTCCTCTTATTAAGGCCGAACTCAGACGACCTTGATGAGCGGACTTTGTATGTCGCAATTGACGAAATAAGGCGAGCAAGATGGGTAGCGGCGCTTTAGGCGAGGTGGCGACATGACTTTTTGTGAGCTGCAAACTTTGGGGATATGTTGTTTCAGAGTGACGTCGTGACATCATACGTCACTGTGTCGTGACTTTCCGATGCCCTGTGTCGTTTCCCGTGCCTCTGCAGTTTCGATACCTACACTGGGTAATGATGGCTTGATTTTTAGGTCTTGGTGCCTGAAATCTTATACATATGGACCCGAGATCCCTTGTGTTTGTTTTACATACTTGCATTATCGAATCCCCGTGTCTCTTTATTTATTCTCCATATCAAACCCTTGTCTCCTTCTTGCTTCATCACTGTGTATCCGTTCCCTCGGTTATAGTGATTTTAGTTGTTCTCGACTCTTCTGTGCGCAAGATATCCTCTCGAGAATATGGTTAACGCACCCTCTGATTCTAGTATGGCGCTTAACCCTACCCCTTTGGCGGTGCACATGCCTCCTTATGGCGACAGTGTTTCTGTTGCCCCTGAAGATGAGGGGTTCCCTACGGTTGAGGAAATAATTCCTCGTAGGGAAAAGATTAGATCTGACTTTTAGAATTTGCCCGAAGACGACACTGAGGTCTCGGAGTCGACGATGAACGAGGTTGACCTCGCTGCTGTTACACCCCATGTTTTTGTACGTGAAAGTACGTCGTAAGTCAATTGAGATCCTATTTGAAAGTATATAAAGTGATTTAATAATGTTACGTCCCATTTTCGCAAGCCTTTAAAAGTTATCATTCGGGGACAAATATTTCTAAGGGGACATGCTGTTACACCCCGTGCTTCAGACGTCACTGTCATTATAGGATTATCTAATGTAAGCTCAAAAAGGACGAAATCCTTCTACAAGGATAAGAAAGGTTTACTGTCACGACCCCAAATTCCCTCCGTAGGAGGTCGTGATGGCACCTAGTCTCTAAGACTAGGTAAGCCTATCAATGCGGAATAATAATAAATATCTGAAGTAAATAAACTACAATTCAAACAATTTCAATTCCCAAAACCTAGTAGAAATAAATCACAAGCTTCTAAGAATTTATTCTCAATGTGTCTATATGTCAAGGTCTAAATAAAATATAAGGAAGTAACATAAAATGATAGAAGGGGACTCCAGAGTCTGCGGACGCTGGCAGATATACCTCGAAGTCTCCGTGCGCAAGTAACTCACTGACGTCTAGGCTGGTAAAATGTACCTGGATCTGCACAAAAAGATGTGCAGAAGCGTAGTATGAGTACACCACAGCGGTACCCAGTAAGTGCCAAGCCTAACCTCGGTAGAGTAGTGACGAGGTCAGGTGAGGCCCTACTGGAATATAATAATGGCATGGTAAAATGTTTATCAATGTAGTAAAATAAAATGACATTGGAAATGAATCAAATAGTATGTCACATTTAATGACACCAAATAATTGCAAATAATATCTCGAGGAATCAAAACAGAATTTTCTTCAACTTTATGAAAATCACAACAATTAATCGAAAACAACTATGGCCATAAATCATTATCAAAGGGCACTACCAAGGTACCGCCTCGTAGTCCCAAATTATAAATAATTTTACAATATCTCATTTCCTTATACTACCACGGGAGCATTCACAATTTATTTAAAGAAAGTATTTTTTTTTCCGAAATAGCTTCCCGTGTTTTAGTCACCCATATCACACCGCATGACTTCTAGTAGTCACCCCTACTAGCCACGCGTATCAAGCCACCCTTATCTCACCGCATGCGTTTCAACACCCAGACCTTATACCACCGCATGTGTATCAATATCACAATATATCACAATTTGCACCTCAAGTGCTCAATATTTTAATTTTCCACAAAAACTCAACAACAATATTTTTCAATAATAAAGTGCTCACGGCTCATGCCAGAATAATCCAAAACAAATCTTACGAAAATATTCAAAAATAAATAATTCAGGAAAATAATATTTCAAATTTTTAATACGTCGCTTCAATATCAAATTTAAAAATGTCAAATACTTCATATTAATAATATTTAATTTAAAGAAAATCAACCTTCAAATAATGCACAGTATAAAAGAAA